TTGCAGGATTTAAGATGGCATGCTTGATGAGATCGAAAAGATCAGCCCATTCTGTCTATGTGTGTAGATGGGAGCACAATGGGCTATAGGTATCGTTCTTTAATATTTTCGGGTGTACCTTAATAATGGCAATTTCCTTCAAAAAGGGACTAAAGTTTGGAACATTGTTTGCAATCGGACACAGCTCAAACCATCAACAGAAGTCTCTTATTCGATGAGTTATACGATACCTGGACCTCCAAATGAGCACTAAATTGTTCACAGGCCGGCTCTATCAGAGGTAAGGCTAACAACTAGACAAAGAAATAATACAGAGAACAGAACATCCAACTCTAAAAGACGTCTCAGAGCTGCGCCAATTGAAGGTGGCCTAAAGTTGAAAGAGAATTAAAGTAAGATGGAAAATGGTCCAAATGGCATTTCACGTGGAAACAGATCTGACAAACGTATTTCCGGGAGGCTTTTCAAGGTGAAAGGCGGTTGTTTTGGTTGTTTTTGAGGGCTCGTATCCAGTGTCGGCAATGCTACACTACGCATAGGGACCATTGAATGACGGGCTGTGAGGAATAAGATGTCACTGGAACCGGTTCTAGTTGTTTCCCGTATGAATAGCACAAAGCTTTAGACAAAATGCACAGAACTGCGAAGTTTTTGCTGCGCGATTTAATATAAGCGCAAAGTCGAACACAGCGGATTCACTCTACGAACTGTGGAAAGGATGACTTTCGAGCTCCGTGAAGCTTGCAGAGTGCGACTAGAGCCACTAGAAGATAGCCCTTTGTGGTATTATATTGTTATGAATGGTGACACTCATGCATAATCGGATAGAAAATGATCCAAAACGGTCCTATTGTCCTAGAGATCTGAGAGCTGTCCGATGTTGTTCCTCCCAGTAAATACTTAGACATACTGTTGCAGGACAACGCACAGTGCTTCTACTCAAAGGTGAGGTTAAGTGGCTAGTGAAAACTTTGCGCGTAACTTTAAAGTCAAACAAGTAGATGCTTCTGGATATTTTTTCTCGAGTCATGGTTGGAGACAAAGCAGACGTCATCAGGAGTAACCATGTACAAATCGTATCTGCCTTTCCTTTCCATATGAATTGAGGCTCTTCCATTGTATGCAAAACTCTAAGTTCTACATTCGAGTGCAATGCACCCACCAATCTGATAGCTCTCTCCACCCAAGTATCCCACTTCACGCGGAGGTGTAGAACAAGAACCTATAGTGTGTCCTTGAAGTTTACTCTATACCTGTTTCTGTGTGTGATTGGCAGTGTGAATAGGAACTAATTAATTGTAGAATAGAGTGGTTTTAATGCACAAATTGTGTCCATATACTACATTAATAGAATGTAAGGAATGTACTGCATCGTCATCGTGAGTTATCTTGATCTCAAATGTCAATTTCACCATGCACCCGCATGGTGTCTTTCTCTCTTTTCGTTTGCTTTTGGACTACAAATTAGGAGAGATCGCGATTGGGAGATACTTGAGATAAACACACCAAAAAGAGTATAAATCTCACTCTTTCAGACA